CTGGGAGTTGAAGTCCACCCGTCTTAAAGTTGCCAAGGCTGAGAAACACTGGTATAGACTTAGTTTGTAAACTTGCAGCAGGCATCTAGCAACTCAGAACTGACCCTTTGTCACACACACCAGGCCCATACAATTTCCGGTTTGTTTGTTTGTTTATTTATATTTCAAAGTTAGTCACCGCCCATCTCACTCCAGCTCTGGGCTGCAAAATTTCTTTGCTCTCTGCCCCTCCCCCAAAAAACTTATTGAAAAAAATTAGGCAAACTGTCCAGATGGGCCACGACACATGGACTGGTGATAAAATCCCTAAACCTGACCCACACCTTTTTTCTCAGCAGACCACCATTCACTGCAGACAAGAATCACAAGGTACTCTCTTCTGTTGTCTCCTAATACACAAACCCACCAAGCAGAGCTCCCTCCTTCACTGCGCCCCCCAAATTGCTTGCTCAGGGGGGGAACAAGAACTGGAACTAGAACTCTATAAGTCTAAATTCCCTTTGGGGAAGGATGGAAACAGACAAAAATGGCTTACAAGCTCAACTCCTTGAACAGCAACAAAAATGAAGACTCTCAACCATTTGGAGAGAAACGTGTGAATATTACAGCCCAGTGCCTCGCTGGGAAAAAACCAGAGTGTGCACACACGTTACATTTACATTGCCTTACACTGGTGACTTAATCAGCCTTCTTGGTTCTGACATCCAGATGTGCCACGATTAAAACTCTCCAAATTCTTCCCAAGAATTTGGGGGACTGTGTTCGCTTTGCTTCTAGAAGAGGTCAGATTGAAGAAAGTATCTTGAAGATGTCTGGGCAATCAATGTCAATAACAATAGGAAATAGTTCTGCATCTCAGGATGATTAGAATACTTAATCCTAAAAGGCTGACAGTGGGAAAAGTTGAAGAGAGCAACCAGCAGCAAGGGGGATGGACTCAGTTACAGTGGCAATGGGGGCACCCTTCGAAGACCTGAAAGACCAGGTTAGGGACAGATCGCCACAGAGAAAATCCATCTACATCAGTGTTGTTCCCACCCAAACTCCCCCCCCACCAATTTAGGTGCGAACCTATCCCCGAGACCAGTCGGCCGGTCTCTTTGG